CGTCCCTAATTTAGCAGTGTAAGACTAGAGAGCAGCTAGTCATCACCACCCACCGCCAACTCTTGGGCTACTCTTTTACGAACGAATAGTGGGATTGACCGTCACATTACAACGCCCCCACGGCTCAAAGGGCGAGCATGTTTGGTGAGACGGGGATTCGAACCCGCGACCCTCAGATTGCGAGTCGAGCGCCTTATCCACCTGGCCATCGATGTTCTTGATACATAATCTGTGTGTGATTGGATAAGTTATAAAGATGTTCCGTGGTTCAGATTATATGCTACTTCATTTTTGTTCTCAAATGTCCATGGACTTATAACGCTAGAAACCGGGTTTCGAAACCCATGGTGGACACAGCACAGGTAGCCCATCGTGTAGCTTTGTGCTTAACTACAAACAAACATACCGAACAGTATATGATCCACATTTTGTAAAATATATCAGAAAATCGCAAAACTTTGTAATTGTGCGGCACTAAAGGGTCGCAAGGTTATCTAAACAACTCATTTACACACAGTTAATATTTTCGTGATAATTAAATGTAGCTTGTTTCATTCAGCACAGCATGTTATCATTGACATTTGGAAAACTGACAGTCATAAGTTGATGAAATAGCTGTAACCTTTCAGACTGTTTATTATTAGTAATTGAAAACTATAAATTTAATGGGTTGAAATAAGAAAATACGATAAGATCAAACTGAAAATTATAGTTGTTTTTACTAAAGCAATTTAGGATTAAACAAATGCACTTATTAAGGTAATGAAATATAAAAAATATATATATATATAAAGCTATCGGATACTTGGCAGAAACTTACTAACCAAGTATGTACTATGTTAAAGATGTCAGTATTAACCAAGTGTGTGCTACGTTAAAAATGCCTTTATTTACAAGTGTGTACTATGTTAAAGATGTATTTATTATCCAAATGTGTGCTAGGTTAAAGATGTCTGTCCCAAAAGTGCGGATCGTGTTGTGAGGGTAATGGGCCGTGAACCTTAAACCCTTGGATTCCTAGTCCGTACACTCTAACCACTATATCATTTAGATCGCATCATCATGTGCTTACGTCGTGTAAAATAAGCTTATTTAAAGAGAACTACAATACAGGAGTTGTAAGATTTAATACATAAATCATTTGTAAAAAAAAAAAACACCTTAATTGTTGTATTAGGAACAAAGCATAAAACAATAGGATTTCTTAAACATTACTAACTGTATAATTGCCAGAAAGAAATATATAATAGCATAAAATACTTCATAGATTGACAGCTGAACAATTTATCATACGTATTTCACAATAAGTTGCTTAAAAGAGCCTGAAAATACTCGAATGTGTTACTTTGTCAAAATCCAACTTAACCTTATATATATATGTTGAATTTTCAACACCCACAAAAAAAGTATGTTCCATTGCAAATATAGCGCCATCTATGGAGCACCTAAAACGTATTTCATTCCGAAATTTCAGCCATGTCTTTTTCAGAACGAAAGAATAACTGGAAATGAAAGCATACTTCGAAATGGAGCGATGAAAACGTGTGACCGAATTAAAGTTTTAGTATCGGTATTATCAATCTTAAGTTCAGGCCTAGCCATTCTTACGTTAAAATTATTGATCAGTAGGTGGACTATCAGTCAGCATCACTCGCAACCTACCTAATTATTCTTAACCAAACGGCGGGATTAACTATCATAGTTACAAAGTTCAGAAAGCGTATGTCATATTTATTGGCCTATCGCAGCTTGAATCTTAGACCTTTTGTCTTCAGCCCGAAACGCTAACTAATAGACCAAAATCGGCTCATTTTTAATCTTCGGTATAGATTGCGACAAATTTCGTAATCCATAAATAACTGATATTCTAATTTACAAAGATGTAAATAAAGCCAACTCCGTAGATGTTATTATACGAATTTAACTCTGCAATGCAGTTGTTATAGTTTGTCTTAGCGAAAAGCTATGCAGGGGGTAAGCTGCCCTCTGTCCATTGGAAAGGTCGTTTTATAATCAGTAGTTGAAATATTATAAATAGTCCTTAAAGTTGTTTGTCTGGTACGGTTGTTGTTAAACATGAGCCCTCATAACAATTGTACTTTTTTGTACGCCGCTACAGACAATAAAGTTGCCAGTAAGAATTACACATTGTTTTATATCGCCGAAGAAAATACGAGTTTCTAATAACAATTGTACTTTTTTGTACGCCGCTACACACAATAAAAGTTGCCAGTAAGAATTACACATTGTTTTATATCGCCGAAGAAAATACGAGTTTCTAATAACAATTGTACTTTTTTGTACGCCGCTACAGACAATAAAAGTTGGCAGTAAGAATTACACATTGTTTTACATTGCCCAAGAAAATACGAGTTTCTAATAACAATTGCAATGTTTTATCACCGTTGCAGATTGTATTATCTATGCCAAGGTTACGACAACAATATGATCAAAATAATAAAATAATTTCGTCATTGTTTAAAAACTAAATATGCAAGTTTCAAATAAGAAGAGTCCATAAAGACATTTGATTTACATTATTTGTACATTTGGGCTCATCCAAATATCGACATGAAAGGCCCATTTAAATTATGAAGGGCTAAAGTCAGCAGGTATGTAATTGTTTCAATACGTCTCTACTCACATCTGTTAAAAAATTGAAGAAGATGATTAAGCTGATTTGCATGGATAACAGAAAAAAAAGAGCACCTGTAAGAAAATAATTTCAAGAGTCTCGGTCTAGGCACACAAAATGAAACTGTACGAGATAAGGATCATCAAATCCCAATGTAAAGTAATAATTTCAGTGGGAATGATAAAAAAAAAAAAAACAGGGCAAGAAGAATAATGTAGGAAAGCATACGACAATTTTGCTGTCCAAATCTATGAAAATAAAGCACTATCCGGATAACACGTTTCCATGAAAAGTCACGTGCCGGTCATACTGATCAGAAGCCGAAAGCAAAACAAGTTTAAGATATAATTGAAAAAAGGACCATGAGAATAAAGATTAAACGGGCTAAAGTATGAGCCTTTAAAGCTAAATCAAAGTCCTAATCAAGAGGGGCAGCACTGCAAGGTCAGCATGGGCAAAAGGGAGAGAATAAGTCAGAAAGAACCAACTATCAATAACAGTCTTGAAACTGATCACAAAGTCCCGATGTACAATGAAGCAGAAAAAAATAATGATTCCAATAGTACTCAAAGATATTTTCTGTAAAATCATAACCAAGCTAAGTACACAGACAGCAGAAATATGCTAAAATGTAAAACCTCATAGCCCAAGGAGTAAATTTTGCATCTTTCACAAAGAACTTGAAAATAACCTTGAATGACATCTCGATAAAATATAAACCCGTGCAGCTTAGAAAAAAATAATATAATAGTATAATCATACCAGAGCTAAGCTAGTTGGAAGGGGCCAAAAGAAAAAAAAACAAAAAATATCCCTAATTCTGGCTACAATCATGAAATAATTGAATATGGATACATACAGTTAGAAATAACTCCACTCCTGACTCCAGGAATTCACCCTGAGACCCAAAGGATCTAGAGAAGAAAGGATGTTTTTAACGAGATGTTCCAAAAATATGAATAATGGAAGAGAGTGAAGAGATCACTCATGATCAAAAACTCGCCAACAGACATTTTTATGTATATTGTGTGGTCAACACTTGTACCTTCTGTTTTATGTGGAATATACAAGTCTGATTCCTCTCTCTCTTCTGCAGTAGCCTGTTAGTTGTAAAAATAAGAAAGACAATCAACATATTGTAAGACCCAACGTATTTATTCTATACGTTAAAATTTTTGTCTGTTGTTTTACACAGATGTTTAAATTATCTCCATGCTACTCATGTTAATTTTATGCTTTTTCAGTATTTATTCTGAACCTGCTATTTTTACATCATTTATACATACCTGTTAACAAGTTTTTACCTTGGAATATGTTAATACCAAATTAAAGTGTGTGTGTGCTAAGACTATTTTACTATTAATAATGTATGCAGTAATTTGCACTGCAAGAATAGGGGTTGGCTATATAGAATATAAAAAATGGTGTTTATATATTTCATATCAGTTTTTTAATTCCTATGTACTAGTACAGTACATTTTTTAAATTTCAGACATAAGTTAGCTTCCTCAACTGAGTAAGCAGCTGCAAATATCAACAAACAAAAACTAAATCAAACTTAGATTTTGATGTTTACTTCTATTATTTGTCATTAGAGGCAGTATAACACAAATTTTGTAAAATAACTCTGATAAAAATATGCTTTTGCATGTTTTTCAAAACCATTTTTCATTTAACTTGTAAGCGCATTTGTGATTATGATGATGTTTTTTTTTTCTGGAAATGATAAAAGTCATTACAAGTTTGAATCATGCATTATTAAAAAGGGATGATTTCAGTAAATCATGTAGGGTTACTTTAAGTTACTATATGATTCCACAAATTCAGTTTCAAGTCAAAAGGTTAAAATTAAAACAACTATAATTTAGGTAATGGTTCACTTTGGAGGTTTTAGCCTTAATAAAAGAACTATCTGAATATGTAAATCCCTTATTAATTATTATCAATTACAATATTCATCGTATAGGTCTAACCCTTCAACTTGGTTTATCATAATACTATTTATCCCAGTGTGAAAACCATTTTCAAATATTTCCAAATAAAAGATTACTAACATTTGTCATCTTATATTCATGTTTGGAAGATAAATGTAAGGAGATTCTCCCATGGTTATAGAAGATATTTATAAGCATGAAATTAAGATATTGTTTACTACAAGTCTGTAAACTTATTAGTGACAAAGAATATGTATGCATAAACAGGCCACATTTATAATGAAATAACATTTTAACTTTAAATACAAAAAAAATATATTCTATATGTTAAAAATTTTGTCTCTTGTTTAAATTTTTTCTGTGTTTAAGGATATTATGTATAATTTTTGTAGTATAATAAACTTTGTACAACTAACATATATATATATATATATATTGATTTATATACAGTTTTAGTTTATTCACCAAAATAAAAATATTTCACAAAGATAAGTTTTTTTACAAAACGAATACTTAAGATGAAACTTTCAAATGATTTAACAAATCTAAAAATTACAAAAAATATTTAGTTGCTTCATTGATTACAGGACTGGAATCAACCACATCAGTAAACTCTTCTATCCTTGTTAACATCATTATTACACCCCTTTCTTATTCATGTTTTGAAACCGAACCTAAAGAATACAAAAGAAACCTTGTAATAAATATTACTTTTATCAAACGATTAAAGCAACATGATGCCATAGCAAGTTGAAATCAAAAGATAGAAACATTTTTATTGCAATAGTTTAAATACTTTGGAATTTTATAACAGGGCAATGAATTTATATACATATATATACATAACACACATGCAAGGCTGGAACTAGCAACTGCTTATCAGATGGTGTAAATCAATAAGTGGCATCCCCTTTCTGAAGTGTAATATAATTCCATTACATGTTACAAGGTTTCCACAATAAGCAATATAATCTAAATTTAAAAAATTAATTCTTATGATGTAACCTGGTTATTCAAACTAAGACCACTATGGTTTAAGACTATGAAGAATATTATGTAAAATACTGTTTTTTATGGCAGTGGGTTCTTGTGCTTAGCCAATGAGTATCAAAGGACACTGGTATTTTTTTTCCCAATTGATAATCCAGGATGATTATGTATATTCAGACAAGATGTAAACAACAGTCAATGTTAAAAAATTTGCTTCTAGCAAAACATTTATGGGAAAAAGCACACAATCATATTCACTCGATAAGCCGTTTCCATTACTACTAGTTTTGCCATCTACTCCTACTGCTGCATCTACTCATACCTTTCAACTCTTTCAAGTGGTCTGACATTGAAGTAGGTGAAGTGGGTCTTTTCGACTTGCCCATTGAGTATTTTATTCTGGATGGACTTTAGTGGGGTTGTCTCAGACTATTTGTTAATCTGTATGACCTCTGGCTTTGAGATCCTTCTTCTCCATGTTGCATTCAATCTCTTTGTAATTCCAAAGAAAACAGAAGATTGGAGACTGTCGCACATCTTTCTTAACTCAATCTTTACTTGGATACACCTCATTTCAAAATGGAAAACATGAAGATGTTACTAAGGTCTCTTCATTGAAGCTATTTGATGCCAGAGATATATATGCAGGATGCTTATCTTCTTATCCCTATTCATTATGTCATTTTCTCCATTTTTGGTAATGGAGGAATGGCTTATCAGTTCAATGCCCTTCCCTTTGTTTTGGCCTTAGCTCTGTATGTTTTTTTCTTGGATTATATCAAAGAATCTTCTTGTCTTCACAATTACCCTGACATCAACTTTTATTTTCCCATAGATAATTAGCTTATTTTGACCCTTCTGACTATCCAACTAGCTAATTCTCTTGGCTGAATAATCCATAGCTCAAAATTTCATTGTGTCAACACTGTATTTGCTATATCTGGGATTTTGAATCAAAAGTTCAAGGAACAATTCAGCCATCTCTTGCAGCATTACAATCTTTGGAGTCTTATGTTCATACTCTTATCTTAAGTATATTCTTCCAAAGACCTCTTTTCTTCTTTACGGATGATAACCTCACTTCACCAAGTCATTCCCTTGGAGTGTCTTCATATTTCTAAGTAGTGTCTGATCTCAGGCCCATAATCAAGATAGTAGAATCTCCATTTCTTGCTATTCCTTCTAACCTTTATCTTTTCACAGCATCTCACTCAAGGAATGGGGCTCTGTGTCAGAGAATCAACATCATTCTGGTTCTTGGACTCCTTAAGAAACAGTAGTTTACATCTACGTGTTAAAACTAAGTTTTTCAACATGGCTGTCTCGAAATTGTGCTCCTCTTTCACCACCATTCTGTGTTAGTTTATACAGATAACTCAACTGTGGTAGCTTACATCAACAGAGTGGTACTCATTCACACAGCTTTTGTTTTGTTGCAGTTTCTCTACTTCCTTAGTTTAATTCTCAATATATTTACCTTTGAGCCTGTCATGTTCCTGGTATGATGAGCATTTTATTTAACTCTCTTTCTAGAGATCATTGTCTTCTTCCCAGTGGATTTGGGAATGTTTGGTCATTTAATGATCAATATCTTTGTTACATTAACCAACTATTTTCAACTCTACTGATCTCTAGTTCAAGATCCAAATTCCCCAACAGTGGATGTCCTGAGACAATCTTGGGAGAACCTCTTTCTTATGCAAACCCTCCCATTCTGTCTTCTTCCTTGGATCTTGGCAAAAATAATTTACTCAAAGGACTAGGTTCTCCATATTTCTCCCCTTTAGCCTACTTAATCAAACCATGATTTTCCTATTATGTCAACCTTCTCACAGAGAACCAGCCCCATTACCACCAAGAAATCATCTTTTACAGCAAACTTAAACATCCATTTTTCAGAACAAAGTTCTATTTTTATAAATCCAGAGTAGTTTGTTGTTTGGTCCTTTGTAAAAGAAGCCAGATTCTCTTCATGGATGACTTATATGTTAGCCCATTCTTGTAAACACTCTTCTCTGGTTGTTTATCTTCTGGAGTTGGTGCATTAGACATGTTATAAGTTGTTTATTTCCAATTCCTTAACAAATTGCTTCTTTAGATATTTATTTCATAACCATGGTTTATTAGCTTCTTCCATAGCTGGTTAAGGAACTGTCTTATCTGCCACCTTCACATGCCATGGAAGCCATTAATCTCTTTTGTCCCCATTATTCAAAGATATCTCCCAAGCTCTTCATCTTCAATGACCCATAGTTCCTAGACATTATCATAAATGGGACTTGGGTTTGGTACTATGTTTATTTGCTTCTTCCTCTTTGAACCATTAATAACTCATTTGCTCTATCATATTTTCTTTTATTACTGGCACCAGGCAGATACCATTTTTATATATCCATGACTTTAATGCTTCTTATACTTTTTTTTTTCAGAATGCCTTATACTTGTACCCTCATCATGCCTTCCTACCTAAAACTTGGGTTGCAAGATATGGTAACCACTGTTTTTCAGCTGTTGTAACATATCCTAATAGATCATTAGGTTCATTTAGAACTCTTTTGTTTTTGTCTGTGATTCTTCAAGCCAGATGGAATCGCTAGCAAGTAAGTTATTCTCTGTTACATGCTTAGTTAACACTTGGGTTCACACTTTCTGTTGTGCATGGTTAAGCAGATATTGTTATAAGGCCCAACACCCATTTGTTTTTCATGTGTTATTATTTATCGTAATTGATCATGAATCTCATTAAAAAATCCTTTTTCATCACATCAGAGATAGTTGTTGTTCTCTCATACATACTGAATCTTTCAAAAGGTCTTGGAAAAAATTTTATATACTTACAATGACACACACTATTTGGATCTTGCTCTGGCTTGTACATTTCATCTGTCTTGTTTACCAAGATGTTCCCATCCATCTTAAAAGTGAATTTCAGGATATATCTTGCCAAAATTCACCATTTGGTGATGTCTTTGCTGTCCTAATCACAGTACCCTTTAGAGAATATTCTGAAGACCAGAATGTGGATGAATTCAAATGCATTATTAAAACTTTACTTATATTATTTGGTCTCTGATTGTGAACTTGTGATTCTTCAAGCCAGATGGAATCACTAGCAGGTGAGTTATTCTCTGTTACCAGCTTAGTTAACACAAGAGTCTACACCTCTGTTATGCATGGTTAACCAGGTACTGTTAAAAGGCTTAACACCCCTTTAACATTGCAGGGGCATCTGGGATCATGGAATCATCAGATTAAAAAAATAGCAAGGTTTTTCTTATAATATGAGACTCTAAGTTTGAACAGATTCATCATGTCACACACTAGCAAGTTACATATACCTCTGCAATTGTCCTAGATAAAATTCAACCCTGGAGATCCAAGAGATAGTGATGCCCTCTACAAGTAGACAAATTATGACATATTGTGGCTGATGATGCCTTTGTAGGTACCTTTTCCACCTCCATGTGCACATCCTTGCATAATATTTAAGACATCAGAGACAAGACAACCATTCTTCATATGATATTTCATGGCTCCAATCAGGATGTGGAACACCTTACTGCTTTATATTTATTTTCCTTAACCTAATCGGTGTTTCTAATGCACTGTCTTTATGTTAGAGAGCCCATCCTTGGGTCTGCCAAAGTCTTTTTGATTCTCCCTGGGTGCTCATTGATTGAGCCAGTTACACTAGTTGACAAACATTGTTGAACATGAATATAGGGAGTCTTAACTATTCATTGTCTACTCCTCTGAGAATCTTCCACTACAGACAATGGTACACAACGGCATTTTGAGATTTGACTCTGATTATCTGTTACACTACTACCTGTGACCATTCCAAAGATAAATACATACTGCTCAACTACCTTTATTTAACAATTATTTCAAAGGTGATGAAGGCTAGGAGGTACCCTGCTGAGAAGAATGGATTTTTTCAGTGCCCTCATTTGATCCAGTCTCTTGTGAGGCTGGTTGCTCCACTTGTTTTTCAATGATCCAGTCCATTGAATCTACCCTGGTTCTGGATTCTCTTCAACTCTGCTTGATCACACTTTCAGTTGTTTTAGTCAATATTGTTACCTTCCTGCCTAATTAAAAATCCAAATTTTGAAGACTCAGTGACCCTTAAAACTCTCTACATTCCCCTCCTCCATCTTAATATGAGTATTTTGGCTTTGTATATTTTAGATTTAAGTCTACCTATTTTTAATTTAACATTTTTAGAATTAAAATTTATTTCAAACAGGTACCTATCTTTGAAATACATTCCCACCCTTCAAACCCCACAACCAGGAGATATATAATTTACATCACTACAGCTTCTAAAAATATGGTATATGGTGGGAAAGAGCTTATATTCCTTCTCCTAACACAAGCACAATAAGTCACATGGAAGGTGTGAGAGTGGAGAACTACAAATAAGTTGGCATATGCTCTACATCGTATCAAAGGCACTCCATACTTTAGTTACATTTGTTGAAAGCAATAAGGAAAAGCTTTTTATATTTGAAAGGCAAGTACAAGTTTGAAATTCAATTTAATTATAAAAATTACAAAATGTAAGATATTTTCATGTGATGATAGTACATGTAGCTCATAAAAGCTGCCTTCACTTACCATCATTGAAAAACGACATTGTTACACAGTTGAAATATATGGTCCATCCAACTATTAATCTAGTCTAAAGATCATTACCTTAAAATTTCTTAACACCAATTAGTAGTTAAATCACAAAAATGATGGCTTTGTACAAATATTTAAACTTAATTTCCTGTAATACTACTACATTACATTGAAGATCTTATAAAAGTTTATAACATATTTATTAAAATGTATAAAATTGTTTTGCTAAGAAATAATAGTAAATGAGCAGTATAATAATGAACAAAAGCAATTACAAACCCTTAGCCTAATCATGGGAATTTTTGTTTTGTTTGGGAGAAGAAACTACATATTATAGATGATCTTATACCATGTAACTAATTTTTCTGTTAATAAACCTATGAATATTTTAAAAGAAAACTAAATAAGAAACTCACCAAAGTATCATGCAATGTTTCTAGCTTTTCCTGTGAGCTTAAGATCCTGAAAAAAATTAATATATACAAATTAAATTTACAGTATATATATATATATATTGAATAGCAATAATTTAAACCAAAAAAAGGAAAGTTAATAACACTCATTAAAATAGATTATGTTATCAATTATAACCCTAGAACTGTCACTGAGGTCCATGGATCCATTTTGTTTTTCAAACATTTTTCTAAACTATTAATGCACCACCCTAATAATAACTGAGTCACACAAAAACATTTAAACTAAAATAACATCTATATTGTAATTAATCTTACCACTCACTGCTGAAGTCTTCTGTCTATATTTTAGATAACATATGAATAATTTCACTTTCCTGTTTTGATCTTATATGTTCCTTTTCCTCGTGTCCATACAAAATCATTTGTTTTAATTAATACAAGGTTTTCCACTGTTTCATATTTTAAACTGAGCCTTTGGTCAGTGAGCATGTGGATAAGGTGATTAAACCCTGCCTCTGCAACACTATTACTGAGCCTTATGCAAAGCAGTTTTCACCAGCATACAAACATTCTCAAATTCCTTCTGTATAAAAGTACATGTGCCCAAGGATCCTTGGTTTTGTCTACATTTATGTAACACTTAACCATTCTCTTGAATTCTTTCCATTCTGAGCTTATCTTAGTGTTATCATTTTAGTGTCTTATAAAATGCTCTGCAAGTAAATTTAAACACTCAATTTCCCTGGTGGTGTTACTGCAGTTTGATGGATCTATTCAGAACATATTTTGATAAAGTTCACTCTCAAATTAGAAGAATCTTGATTCAAGACAAGCCTGTATTGGAATAACTGTAATTCTCAGTTTGTCTACAGTTTTCTCAATACAGTTTATCTTGTTCATTAAGCTGTAGTTGACAATGACAGTGGGGGTATTCTCTGTGTTCCTTTTTTATTTTTCTGGTGCCCTGTTTCAAGGCTCATAAAATGCCAGGACCCTGATTTTATTTCCAGATCAAGTTTGAACTTTTTCAAAATACTTTCACAGCGTTTACCTGAAGTTTCTTCCTTGAATTCCTGTAAGGCATCCTTTACATTTTCTACTATAGGCAGTATCTGATAGCATAAAATGTTTTCTTTTTCAAACTGCATAGACAGAACAGATCATGCATCCAGCACATTGTTGTACAAGCAAAATGTTGAAAGAAAAGTAAAAACTTTTTATCTTTTTCTAGATAAAATTTACAACAACCAAGGGAATTCTCTATTACTTGAGCAAGAATTATCTAATTACTCAGTAAATGGTTTACTCCATGTCTTGCGTGTGCAACAAATCGTATACCATGCACTTTGGGAAAATTAAAACTGTGCACACAAATTGCACTTGCAGTTATCTCAAAATGCTATTTGAACTTTTCAGATCTTTTGAATAAGTAATATATAGTTGTCATGAAGTATTTCACATCAGCAAATGATTTAGATACACTATCTTTCAATAACAATTCAACTTTATGGGAAATACAGTGAATGTTTAAATGCCAAAGACAATTGTCATTTTTCAGTTTTGTTAGCAATGTATTGTAAACTCCAGTATTAACACAGGCTCCATCAGCTGTAGCTGAAACTAGCAGGTACGTTTGTTTCTCTGCTGGATTTGAAACCTTTTCATCACATTTGAATACATGATCAGTTCTTCTCTTCAGATTAGTTACACCTGTGTCACCAAAGCTATCAATGTCCTTTAAGGCAACACAGAAATAAACTGGTGTACCTTGTTTGACTGTTCTAATGAAGACCAGTTCTTTTTCAGAGCCAGTTTTTCTTGCCCAACTTCTATCACTAAGTACTGCAAAAGCTACTGTTGAACATAAAATCACTGCTACTTTCTCACATATGGTTTCTACAATAACATTAATAAATTTTTTACTCTGTTGGCATTATCAAAATTTGAAATTAGTTATATCATATTTTGTTTATGCACTTATCCAGAGTTTTAAATACTAACAAAGCCTGCCCATCCACAGCAAGCAAATAAGCTGTTGTAAGAAGCTTGTAGAAAGATCATCACTAGCTATACCACTGGTGACAGGGAGTCTTATCATCATCTTCAAGCAATGTTTTAAAGCCTTAAAAGCACAACTGTATAAACACATAAATTTTGCATAAAATAATTTAACAAAAACAGCAAAGCTTGAATGAATAAAATAAATGGACAGTAGAATGTATGTAAGAGGTAATCCTAGTAACTGATAACACAAAAACAATGTATGTATAGGCCTACCAATTTATAACAAAAAAAAATCAATGAATAGATAATACTGTTCATAAAATAAAAACATTTAATTATGTTTAAATTTGTACTTGAGTAATAGAGGACACAAAATCAGTTCTCTAATTACCTTAATATATGCTCACCTGACACAAAGTTAACAAATAACCAAACCTAAAGTTCACTAGTAACTTGAAAATCAGTTAATGTGCATATCATCAAGTTAGGCCTTGGCCGATAACTTGAAAATTCATATAAAGTCAATGACAATTTTAATGTCTAACACACTAACAACTACTTTGGGAACAAGCATTTTTCCTCTGCTTTGTGATGCTTGCAATTTGCATACAAATACAGGCCTATACAGGCAACAATTGGGTTTACCTTTGAATCAAAGATATTATAATATACTGACTGTGAAATGTAGGTAGCTGATGATACAGGCTGCATGCATAAAGACAAACAATGAAAGAATATTGTTATAAATTTCAGTAAAAGAGTATAAAAACAAGGTAATATATATACAAACACCTAAAGCAATTTGGTGTGTTGTTGAATTCAAATGGCAAGTAATAGAGTACTTCATTATGAATTGAGTGCCATATATGTATATATACTTGTCCACCTTTTGCTAAATGCACCCTTTCACTTCTTTTTATATCTCCTTTCTATATTTAGCACAAAACTTGCACCAAATTTTTGTTAAAATGTCTTCCTAAGATGAAGAAGAAAATCCAGTTTGTCCACCGAGATTCCATTTGCCAAATGATGACAACATAATAATGTTTCACTGGCTAAACTGAAACATGTTTACAACTGAAAGTGAAACCAGAACTAAACTATGATGATCTCTGATCTATATGACAGCCCCTGAAGATTCATGTCAAACAGAAAATCAAATCAGTTCATCAAATGCAACTTAGGTCACGAACAAATTCTTAAAGCTCTTCTTGCTGTTCTGAATTAATAACCAATTCTATAATTTAAACTTTAACACATTGACTTTATCTCTCAGTTACAAATATTGGATGTTTAAGTAGTATAACAATATAGTTTGAATATATCATATCACTGTTCATGTAACATCTCTAGTCTAGGCCAATTAAAATTAAAGTACCAGAGTCATAGCAGCCAACAGGATCACACACACAGTTATTATCTGTAAGCTTGCTCTGTGTAAACAAATAACAGCTGATTGTGTGAACAGTGAGCATCATGACAGAGTTAACAGGGGCTCTAATAAGCCCTTGCAAAACCCATTTTACAAGCATTTGTGAACACCAGTGTGATGGTGCCTGTCAAACATGAAAGACTATAATTCTTATTTTAACAGCCTTCTATTTCAACAGTTTCCTTGAAAATGACAAGTTTTTTTTTTTCAAAACTAGACAGGTTTTATATGTTTTTTAATTCTTTAATCTTTTGTGTGTTTTTGTATTGATTTGTTACTTCTTTCCTTATCAATTTACATAAGGCATTTCTCCTTCTTTAGTAGGCCTGTAACCTAGTCTAAATTATTATTAACAAAACATTAAAAAACAAGAGACCTTTTTGTCTACCTAGACTATCCTATCCACTAAATTAAACACCAAAAAACTTAAAACAACTCTTATTCAAATATTTATTAAGCTTTCCTTAAACTCTCTTGAAGTGACTGCATCTACCACATCTGAAGGCAACCCATTTCAAAATCCAACCATCCTATTGGAAAAATAAAGCTGTCTTAGCAGAGGACTCTTGCCCTGCCAAAATTTATATCTGTGCCCCCTAGTCTTACCATTTTCATGATTAAATATGAAAAAAGATGATGCATCAATACTATTAATTCCCTTAACAATCTTAAACATCTCAACCAAGTCTCCTCTAATTCTTCTTTTTTGAAAAGACTAGTTCTGAGATTTTAATTTATCTTCGTATTACAACCTTTCCATCCCAGGTATCATCCTAGTAGCCTTCCTCTGAACCATTTCCTACAATTCAATGACAGTTGTAAAGTAAAAAGCCCAAGACTGAACACAATACTCAAAATGTAGCCTAATCAATGACCCATACAATGAAATTACAACACCTTCAATATTTCTGTTGATACAACCTAAAATCACATTTGCTCACTTATATATATCACTATTACGCAGTATTAATACAACTTTATTAGTTTATACAATTTAGTCTGTTCAGCCTAATTCAATTTTCACATTTTCCGGTAAATGATAAATAATTTTAAATTTTGGACCTAATTTACTGCATACCATATAGTCTTTTAACCTTATACGTTATATTAATATTACTACTGCTACACTATTATAAGCATTCCTATAGCATGAGTAGTTGTACTGTTGTAGTAATAGTATCACTATCACTCGATTCTTAGTCCTCGGCCCAATTCGATAACCGAATAAAAACACCAATAGCTATAGTTAGAATTATCAACACGTTTACCTTTCCATTACATTATTCACTTTTCTTAAATTTTCCGCTAATCCGTTAATAACAGTATTTAACTGTTGAATACTTTCCCATACACTGGCTTCTAATTCGGGACTGTGTAACGATGTTGATGATGAATCTCCCTCCATTTTCGTACAGTGCCACCTTCTGGTGTATGTTTTTATTTCAATTTCATTTCAATAAACTATTTTTCAATATTTTTGTACCAATGTTTATTTAAAGTTTAAGAAATACAAACCCAAAAAGATTTAACTTTTATTATTTATGGGATAGTATTAATGTAATATTAAACAAATGTAAATTGATGTAAAATTAAGTATATTAATACATGTACTTAAAATCTATGTTTTTATTGGATATTTTAGAACCGGTATTATCTTCTAATTCGACTGAAGAAACAATTATACCCTGGAGGAACAAAGGTAAGTTTACGGACTTATAACGTTCAAATCCGAGGTTCGATTCCAAGCGATGAACACAACAGATAACCCAAAGTGGCTTTGTTCAGAAAAACGAAGAAAGAAAGAAATAATTTAAACTATTCTGATATTACACTCTTCTCACATAAGCAAGTAAATCAGTAGTGGGAAAGGTTAAAAGACTGTTTTAAGCAAATATAAATATAGTTTTGTTGTTTTGATTATTTTATGTTTAAATAACGTCTTGTTTTATTTTTCATAGTAAACACTGATCTCTCTCTCTCTCTCTATCTATATATATATATATATATATATAATGTTCACATACACACAACTATATTTATATACAACAATAACTTCCAATGAAAGTAAGCTATGTGCCCAGAGCGAAACTAAAAATCAACATGGCCATCAATATTGCAAATCAACTATACTATTATTACGCATATACTTATAAAGATTAGACTCCATTGTTTCTTCAGTTAAGTACTCTCGTTGCTAATGGTGTTTTCAGCCATAAACCCAATAATATCTCACGAGGTACGGCCAGCTTAGGAGACTTAGGCTAGTTCTAAATACAAAATCTAATCAAACAATGCAAGTAAAACTTTATAACACAAGTATAATGATTAACGTAAATTCAAAACGAAATAAAAGTGAATATTTTCAATATTCATATAAAAAATTTCATTTATGACAGAAACAATAATTAAACAAAATAGAGTACCTCACCCAGGCAACTTACAAACACCAGTTTCTGTCCTAAACCGTATTCGTTGGTGTACATTTCTTTGGAAACATCCCTTCTCTTACACTGCACTTTTCCACTAAAATTATATTATTTTAGTTAAAAGCATGTCGTGTTGTATGCGCATACCATACTATGGCACAAACAAATACCAATGTTCGTGAAGATACAAAACAAAATAATACCTGACCATATAATTATAATATAACGATATTAAATGTTATAGTAAGAAATCAATTAATTAAACTTAATATGGAATTTGTCTGAAATCTTTTACCACCATTCATGGGATCATAAAATTAAGGTATCTTCTACTAACATTATGAGGAGGTTGGAGGAAGTAACAAATAAAATTCAATCTATTCAAAAAGCCGAAAAATAAAACACGATAAAACACTACACTACATGCATAAATACACTAGTTGCAATATGGCAAAGAAAGTGAATATAAAAGGTAACTATACAAATTAATCTAGCTATACTAATAATGTAAGTTCATGGTCAGCTAATATTAACTATATGCTATAATAGCTAAAACTAGCTTTTCATAAAACAAATGGTAATCAATACATTAAAGTTCTTTACTTTTACCCTAAAAGACATCCCAAAGAATCAAAGTGTAAACGTAAAAGTTTTTAAGAGTTTGTGATATTCTGTAAAAGTTTTAAATCCATAGTCTTTAACAAGAATATTGTTGAATCTTCCACAGAACTGAATGCATTTTGTGTATATTTTTTTACAATTAGAAGTTGTTGGTTTGTTGTTGTTGTTTCTGAAGTTAAGCACAAAGCTACACAATGGGCTGTCTGTGCTCTGCCCACCACGGGTATCGAAACCCGGATTCTAGCGTTGTAAGTCCGCAGACATACCGCTGTGCTACTGGGGCTACAATTAGAAATTTCGGATTTGAATAGTGCGATTGAGTTTATGAGCTCTATCCATAAAATCTTGTAATTATGAACAAATTCTTTTATATCCAATATTAATCTGTTTGTTTTATAGTAAAGCTACATTGGGCTTTCTGCTGTGTCCACCGCAGGAATCGTACCCCCGGATTTTAGCCTTGTGAGTCTATAGACTTACCGCTGTCAAACCGGAAGACTTATATCTAATAAGCTGTAAATAGTTAACACTGTAAAATAACTAGTTTGGAAGATTTGTATTTGGGAATGGAAAGTTTACAGCTTCAAAATTGAAAGTTTCAGTTTTATTGATAGTGATATTTAAATCTAAATAATTTGCTTTGTTTGTCATGGAAGAGCTACTTTCTAGGGTGAGCTGGCGGATAAATTTGTAAGGCAGTGTCCAGAATATCTTGATAATTAAAGTAAGTGTCAATTAATATATATATATATAACGAATGAATTATGAATATTTTTAAACATTATTACTTGAGTTTAGGTCACCAGCATAGTTACAAAGTAAAATTATAGAAGCAATACAGAGATAATTAAATTTATGTTATAAATGTGTTATTCTATACCTAGTGAACCATATTCGCAAAAATTTGTGGGCACTAGGTAAAATGCGGAAAGCTTCGTTCCGCATAGTGGCGGAACAACTTTTAGAACCAAGCCAAATCACCCAGCTCTACTATAAATACTCTATATTTCTGTTAGCAACATAGCACTAATTTGATGGCTTGAGTGCTTTATCCACCAGTATGTTACTTTTTTTTTTTTTTAGTTATGCTATTGAAATTTGAAGTGGTTTCCATTTCTATTATTTAAAATTAAATAGTTGATCAAAATTATGTTAAACCTAAAGTTTTATGGGGTGTACTATGCTCTTATAACATAAATTATAATTAAAGATTATTTGTCATGTATTTCTACAATTTGCCAATTGATTCAAGTCATTCTATAAATAATGCTTCAACATTCTTAATTAAGCTAGAAATACCCAAGAGTTTAATGTCGTTGGCAAACATTATTAGTTTTCTAATTATGCCCATATCACTATCAATATCATTTGTGTAAATAAGAGAAAACAAAGTTCTAAGCACTGCCTCTGGAAGCAATTCAGTAATAACAAGGGTCCATTTAGGATGGACTTCATTAACAACAACTTTTTACTTTTTCCCACCTAACCACCCTACAATTCAATTAATTAATTATTCTCAACTCCTTCTGATGTAATTTTCTTAGCTAATTCTTGGTTTAGTACCTTATCAAAAACTTTCTGAAACTAAGTACTCCAAAGTCACACCCTTTCTATCACCCACATAACAAATAACATCCTAAAAATAAGTTGAAAATTTAGTAAGGCAAGATTTACTTTTTTAGATCCATGTTGGTTATCAGATTTATTATCATATTTCACTAAATTATTTTGTAAAGGTTCTTTTAACAGACTCTAGAATTTTTTCCACTACAGGAGTAAGGTTATTTGGTCTATAATTTATAGGACAAATTTTATTAGGATCTTTAAAAATTAGAAGTGAAATATGGAACTCTCCAATCCTTGGGCACCTACCCACTCTTTAGTGACCTACCAAGAATGAAAGAGAAAGGCCTGTGTATGTGTTCTTTGACTTCTTTTTAAAATCCTAAGGAAAATCTTAAATGGCTGGTCCTAGTTCTTTATCTATTTTTAATCTGTCAGTCTTTGTACTTACTACCAAGGGATTAATACCTACATGATTCTGGTCAATTACAATATTTCCCATAGAATGCTCAGTAACAGGAATATTGATCGTATCTTCCCTTGTAAAAAAAAAATAGAAGAAAACATTTTAAAGCTTAGTTATTTCATAGTCTTCAACAATAATTTTGTCATCAGCATCATTTAAGGGTCTAATCCCCATTTTAACATTTTGCTTACCTTAACATACATATAAAATTTATCCTTCATTTTCTGTATGTCTAGTAAACTAGTGAGATTTGATTTCCCCTGTAATACTTTTCCTATTTTTAGGAACATGCCTATTTTGAACTAAACACAATTTATTTTAAAAAATTTTAATTTGTTCCACATCACCTTTTAACTTGTTTTCACAATTTGCTGATGATAAATGTTGTTCTATTTTATTGAAATTGCCTTTCCAAAATTTAGGAACCAAATTTGGATTTTTTTATTTCATAATGTAGAAGAACCTTCAACCTATTTATGTCAGATGATCCCCTACTTGAACTCTTGCAATCATACCATCAGTAATAGTTAATTATAAATGTAAAATGGCATCTCTCATGTTTGGTTGTTTGGCCATTTGGTATAGAAAAACCATCAAGAATCATTTATTGTGACTCCATATAATCAGTGTGTCTAAAATTACTGCATCAATATTCGTATTAGTAGCAACTTTAATCTCATACAATTTCACATTTACCCCTTCTGTCTAATCAGATGGCGTATAACAGAAAGCGTATGATAAGTTGCCTCACAAAAGATTTGTTACAAAAATGAAATCTGTGGTTGTGGGGGAAATGTTATTAAATTAGATAGAAAATTGGTTGGAGAGTAGAAAGCAGAGGGTAGTAATAAATGGAGTTAGATCTGACTGAATCACAACTTCAAGCAGTGTGCCTCAGGGCTCTGTGCTGGATCCTATGCTGTTTGTGATTTATATTAATGATATTGACTCTGGAATGACTAACACAATTTTGAAGTTTGCAGACGACATTAAGATTTTTGGGGTGGCTAACTGTATCAAAGATGCTACAGACTTGCAGGATGATTTAGATTATTTGATGCATTGGGCCAGTACGTGGCAGATGATGTTTAACTATACAAAATGTAAGGTGATGCATGTAGGTTTTCACAATTCAAATTATTGTTACAATTTAACTGGGAATAAATACATTAAATACTGTGGTTGAAGAAAAAGATCTTTGTGCTGTGATAAAAAAAATCACTTAAATCATCTAAACAGGAATAGGACTAACAGGATTTTGGGTAAGATCTGTAGAAATATTGATTACAAGACAAGAGATATTATTGTTTCACTGTATAGATCACTTGTAAGGCCTCGTATAGAGTACTGTATACAGTAGAAGGACATTGAATTGTTAGAGAAGAGCCACTAGGATGATACCTGGGATGGTAGGATTGTCCCATGAGGAGAGACTAAATCTCTAAACTTGTTTTCTTTGGAGAGGAGAAGGGTCAGAGGGGATTTGATTGAAGTGTTTAAGATTATTAAGGGTATTGATAATATAGATCCAAACTTTTTGTGTTTAGCAGTGAAAACAATAGAATAAAGGGTCATAAAGTCAAATTTTGGCAGTGTAGAAGTCATATGTGGTTTAGACAGTATTACTTTTCAAACAAGGTGGTCGGCTTTTGGAATGAGCTGCCTTCAAGGTGGTGGAGGCAGAAAAATGAACTGAGTTCAAGAAAAGATTGGATAAATACCTGAGTAATAAGGGATGGTTGTAGTTGGGAGCTAGAAGGGACATACTTGATGGGCTAATAAACTCCTTTTCATCCCTTTAAAATTTTATGAATTTATGAACAGTTGCCAGTTAAAAACTTGCTATTCTTGAAATCCCGGATTTTAATCCATATAGATTCAACCTCTTGACTACAATTTCTTATCTCATTAGTCCTAACAGACCACAACTCGTCCCTTATATAAAGAGCTATCCCATCCCTTCTCTTAAAAAGTTATCACTTTTAAATAACTTCTATCTGGAATTTCAAAACAATTCCTATTTTTCATTATTCTAGAAATCTAACCAAGTTTCAATAATTCCCTTTGTATTATAGTCTTCCATTTCAACTTCATCCCTGAAGTCATATATTTTGTTCCTAATACACATAACATTAGAATAATGACAACTAAGTTTGTAAGATTGTGCTTGATTGCACTATATTCTAATTTATGTTTAAGCATTACCCTGATAATTTTTCAGTTAAGTCTTGGATCCTGCAAAAATATATCATTCCTACATTTAACTCAGTGAGGCACTACTGAAAGGGCCACACATTTATTTATGTCTTAAACCTCTGAAGAAGTTCTTTATTAAGCAGCAACAGCTGGTAAACAGATTCTAGTCCTACTCTTTCTGTGTTTCCCACTACAAATAACTACCCATATATTTAATGAGAGAGTCACCCAATATATAAACTTCTTGTTCATCCATTTTGTCTTTGCATGCAACCAGTGGTTCAACTCTATAATACAGTACCTGTTATCTGTTTTCTCAAAATTTAACCAAGTTTCATTAATTCCCATTGTGTTATAGCCTGCCATTTCAACTTGATCTCTGAACTCAGTTATTTTGTTCCTAATACTCCTAACATTAGAATAATAGCAACTAAGTAGCAAACATTTGTTCATTTACTCTACACAAGATATATGTCCTTGGTGAGCTTGTCTTAAGAAGCCTGCATTACTTTTTTATAGATGTATGTGAATTTCCTCAGAACAGGTCACACTGAACCAAGGACCCGATACTTAGGGCTAGAAACATAGGCTGTGCAATTCATTCTACACTTCATTGTGTCAGTAAAGAAATGTATTTAATAGTTTATTTTCATTGGTCATTTCACAACTGATATATATACATACATACATACACACACTATTTTACAGGGGGTAAAAGAAGTGATCATTCAGAACAAAATAGTTTTTGGTTATTTTGTTACGGACCAGTGAAAAATGTATCTATTTATTTTTACTACTTTTTATTTTGATCAGTTTCATAATCTTGTTCACATTTATGTTGTGTGTTAATAGTTTCACTTAAGGTTAAAGTATTTTTAGGAAAATGTTTTTAATTTCAATTGCTTTAAATGTGTGTGTGTGTATTGTATATATTTTCTAATCATCAGATAATCACTGACATGAGCATGAGATTGTGGAAAGGAATTAAAAACTGCTCTAAGTAACTGCCTTTCTAACTATTTAAATTTGAGAATCTGTAAATTAGAGATGACTTCATTGTAGGCATAGTTCATGACATCAGTATACTTGAAATATACAAGTGTACAGTAGTGTTTTGTATTTGACAGAAGTAGCAAAAAATGGATTTGCAAGAAGCCCAAAATGCATTTGTGAAGATGTTAGCTGACATCAATAAGGAAGATGTAGCCAATTTCTTTTGTTGGATACAGTCTTGTTGGTTGACATCAGGTACTAGTATTATTTTAATAGTTGTAATCATGTCACAATCCAGTCCTGCATGTAATGTTACATATAATTATTGATAGTAAAATTTTGTTTCTTTAGATTCTACCTAATGTACATGGGACTTAATTGATTTCCTAATTTACATAATGGGCTTTAAAGTACAAGCAAGTACTTTTTGACTATCAATTTTGCAAGTTTTTCTTCTTCTGTATTATTTGCATAACCAACAATGGAATTTGTACTCTGTAATAACCACTAAGGTTAGGAAATATTGTGGATGAAATTAATACATGTAATTATGTGTATTTTGTATATTTTATTAGAATGAGATTTTGTTCATCATCAGGTCAGTTAATTCAGAAATAGAACTCAAGCCAAAGTAAAGTATGTTTTTCAATTTCTTTTATGTTAGGCTATTAATAAAAATATTTAACAGTCACAAGATACATTTGCATGTATGCAAAGTTATCATTATCTTGATTTGTACTAATAAAATCATTAGTAATTTTTGCATCACAAGTTATTCAATATTGCTAAATAGAACCTTTTCAGAACAAATATGTTAATTGCAAATCTATGGATCTGTGAAGTTGAAAATTTTTTAATATGTAGTAAAAATTTAATAATTAGGAGTAATATTTTGTCATTTAGTATTTGAACATAGATTTGACCAGAGCTATAAAGAAAGAAGTTAATTAACCTTCTGACACTAGAGAGAGAGATAACATCCACACAGTTTTATACCATCATCCAAATACTTGGAAACATTATCAAAAACTTAAGTTAGTAGGGTAAGAATACCCTCTCTTAAAACCATGCATTTTCTTTATTAAATTCCACTTCCCAAGATGCATTTTCTATCCATCCATAAGAAAAGTTTTAAAATATTACCAGCCATGAAAGGCAAACTGATAGTTTTCAGGATCTTCTCCTTACCTTTCTTAAAAATGTAGATGATTTGGAAAACTACTGCTTATGTATAAATTTACTTCTTTTCCATTAAAAAAATGTTTGTTTTTAGTTAACAGGCACTCCCCAGTTGGAAGACTGTGTACTTACAAAGCTGAAAATCAGGTTTCAAATACCCTTAGTGGGCAGAGCACAAATAGACCATTATGTTGCTTTGTGTTTAACAATACTATACCAACAACAAGTTTGTAAGCACAATTGCAAGAACTAAGAGAGGAATAACAAGTGTTATATAAGAGTGGTGTAAGAAGGAGTTGCAAAGTGTGGGTACTTGGCTAGGCATGCAGATTTTACAGTGAGAGATTGAAAGTATAAGGAGCTGCCAAAGGCAGCTCAATCTAAGGAGTTCGGAAGCATGTCTCCCAGTAAATTAATATAATGATATAATTTACAGTTGCTATATAACTCAAATATGTGAAAGTGGAGGTGCTGGAGCATCCCTAGTTCCAATGCCTCTGGTAAAACTATATAAGCTGAATTGTGATATTCTAATTTTAACATACCTAATTAATCTGAAATAAAAAATGCTATTTTAAACATACTGGAAAATAAAAAATGTTTTGTGGAAACCTAAATAGATCACTTTTATATATTTTTTAAAGAAAAATTATTTGAAATACAAAATACAGTTTGAGCTTGGAGAAATGCGAGTTAGATGAGCCTTTGTTGTTAGCCAAGTAATAGATTATAAAACTATTAGAAGGCAGCTTCTCATTTGTATTCCTTTTTCAGAGTGCTTAGGTGAAGCTCCTGCAGTTGCATTTACAAAGTTAAAAAGAATTGCTGATGACATTAGAGGAATGGTCCCTCAGTGTGGTATTTTACCTTCTGAGCAGATACAAACTCCAGCAACAGGAGAAGTGAGTTCTACAGTATAATTTTTACTTGATAAAACGTTTAATACATCCTACTCTACCAAACCTTATACATTGAATCTTTCAATTGGGAGGTAAAAAAATCACTTTCAAAAATTTAAAGAAGTTTACCCCTTACACTAAAAAGCTGTAAATTAACAATTTTTAACATTTATAAAATATCACATCACCAAACCTCTCATTTTGCTTTATGTTTTAAAATTAACCAATATTTGTCTTGCTCCAAAATTATGTTTTTCTATTCAGATTCTTCCCTTTACACATATTGTAACTGTATATTTGAGATTATACAGTGTGAATAAAGAATCCCTTTGTATCTTTTAATGTTACTGAGGTGAAAACGTCATTACTAAATATTTTATTTACCTTTTGCTGTTCATGATTCAGGATTATTATGAAATTAAGCATTCATTACATAAGTATTTTCATAAACCTTAGACATTAGTAAAAGGTTAAATCATTATGTTTACTTTGAAAATCCTGTCTTCAAAATCATCAAATATACAAAATTTTGGCATTTAGACATAGGAATTTTAGTTTTGGTTACAATTATGTTTGCAGGTGCATGAAGATTTGAGTAAAATAGCACCCTTCTGAGGAAAAAAAGATTGTTTTTTTTTTTTCTGTATAGTTTAACCCTTTCCAGCCCTGAGGATGTCACTGATATTCCTTGATTGTTTTCCTTCTCACAGTAGAAATATTTAACTAAATTGCATGAAACTTAGAAAAATCTTACTAAATAATATCTAGTTTTGGATGTACAAAATTTATCTAATTTGATTTAGTTTTTTCAGCATTTTTCTATGTTGTGAAATGTTCAAAATTTTACTGTGAGAAATTGTTTTGCAAAAACTAAGTATTTTTTATAATTTTGAAATTAAAATTTGTTTATGTTGGTCTGGAAGCTCCATTTTATATATACAATCAATTTCAATTTGATTTACATTCATTAGATAATTTCCTTTGATACTGATTTATAGCTGATTGCAGTAGTCACAGTTTTGGCTATAAATCGTAAAAACATGCCATAAATTGACATAGAGTTTATGACCTTATCTGTCATAATAGTGTCAGGCTAGGTTTCATTATTTTTGAGAACAGTATTCTTGGTTGAAATAAATGTATTTCTAACACATGTATTATATATGTACATTGTTTGAATATGATAAACTTAACAATAATATTCAATAAATAAGGATTTTAGTAACTGGAACATTTTGCCATCACCTACCATATTCTCTAAACCTAATAAAGCTTACCTGATATCTTGACATGGAAGAAAATAATTTGTAGTTTTCAAACAAATATAATTTAACACAAAAATGTTTTTGGAATGAAAAGAATTTATAAAAATATTTCCATATATGTGATTTGTTTCTAAGTCATTTAAACTTCGGACTACATTCCAATGTTATGTTCTATATGAACTAGGTCTTGTCACTTTCCCAGGAAACTATAAATTACTTCTTGTACCACTTTATTCACTCTACATTAATTTAAATTATTTATAATCTGCTGTATCAAATGGCATTTAAACTTTACCTGTAGCTGTTTTAAAAGAAGAGATAATTATTAGTTGTTCTAATTACATACTGTGAGGTCATAAAAGGGTGGGAATGACCAACTCTTTTAATAATAACTACAGAAGGAGAAATTAAATCATATGACATACAAAACTTTGAGAATTGTATTCTGAAGGGATATAGTTTCTTAGTAAATATAAACCTTTGCTTTGGGATTAGTAAAAAGAATTTTACAAAAATCAATAAGTGTGTTATTTACAAGCAAGTCTCCTCGGAGCTGAGCAGAAATGTAAGTTTGATAATTTTGGTTTGTTTTTTTGTGGAGTACACTAAATAAATGCTACAAAATAGCAATATATCAATGTTTTTGAGTAAACAGGTATTAAAATAGACTTATGATTTTTTATTCTTGCTTAAATTTTGAAATTTGGTACCCAAGCCACCTGCCACGTAAAAGGTGCTCATCAGTTGGGAAAGGGTTAATTTACTGTTTCATTATTAAACATGTATAATACTTGATAAATGGTGTATTTATATCTTATTTTTAATCTTATAGAATGCAGATTGTGACCCCCATCATACAGTCCATGTTGATGCTTTTCTTTATGAAGAAGAACATATTGATGACTTGGTTGCAGAGGGAAAGATGAGTCGAAACTATTGCAAGAAATGTGGCTCACATGAGGTTGCTCCATTAAGTAAGTACTAAGGAGAAACAGCCTGAAGACCATTTCTATTGTCTTTGTGATAAATGAGAATATATATATTGAATTAAAGTAGTTTGTAAAATCATATAATTTTCACATGTAACTGTGGGTCTCAAATTGAAAAGAAATATTTAACAGGCAAACTTATCAGCCATAAATTAAATTAGATCTGAATATATTTTGTATTTTGAAAGGTGATTTAAATAACATTGTAGTTAAATTATGGATAAAATGTTTTAATTATCCTTAAAATTTGTGACTTCACTATGCTTACATAAGAAAAAGAAATTATCAGTCTTAATAGGTGTTTGTCAACAGTGTATGTTTTCTTCGCAGGTTCAAGTTTGTGAGAAAGGAACTTGCATGTTAGGACTTGAATAAAATGCAAGTGTTAGCTGTTGTTGTTTATTAGAATATTCTATAAGGTGGTGATTTCGGTATGAAGTGAAAGGTAGTTAGAACAGATGTTATATGTTCTATTGAGAAGATTGAGAATAAGGTTATGTTTAAAGGAATTCAGAATAAAACTGTCAAATCAAGTAAATAAGACTATATATGTTTTTTCACCATAAACAGATGTTGTAAAATCTGCTGATTTGGATATCAAGAATTTACTGTTTTTTTTTTCAGTTTCACAAGTAAATTTAATGTTAGGGTGTTTCAAATTTACATAATCCAAGAATTGTATGATGTGATTAGAGCTTCAAAAGAGTAAAAACATACCCTCAACAAACCTTGTACATAGAGATGGTTTGTATTCAGCAGGACAAGTGTCTAACCAAAAACACTCATAGTAAAAAAGCAATATGTTAGGGAGAGTTAGCTGTAAAGGTGATCCCATAGCCACACTATGTATTTGGTCTTGAAGCTGACCATTGAAGACAGAGTGATTGTCCTTGAGGGCAAGTTTAAGTAATTCTTCAAACTGTTGGCAATTAAAGCATGTGTATGTTTCACTTTTGTGTGGGGAAAAGTTTCTTTAAGATTATTTGTATTGTCAATTAACAAGATTGGCATTTTTTGTTTGTGTTCACATTGCTAATTTTGAGGCTTGAACTGATAAATAATTATACCATTTGAGAGGCAGGTATTAAAATCAATTTTAAATCAGTTAAGATTTAATTTTTCAATAGTTTTTACAAAGTAGATTTATTTAATTCCTTTTTTATGTATTAGTACATGTTGTGGAAACTTATTAATTAATAAATTTTACTGTTGATTATTTTAATCTCTAGTAATGTTTTACACAAATCATAATCAGTACTTTCCTTATTCAAGGGCTGGATGTTGCCTTTGTTTTTATTCTGTGAGGTTATGGATCATAGAATCTTGTGTGCAAAACATGATGCCACCAAATTTGCATCACTCTTAAGCTGTGGAATGGGATAAAAGTTATAGTTATTTCTGTTTATTCAGTTCAAAACCAGATACAGCTCTTATGGTGCAATATGTTGCTGACTGACTGTACATGAACCCTAGATGGTATCTGACCTGACTATTTAATTAGCCCATGTGTGTACAAAGTGCCATTTTGGATGGATATTTCAATTTAAAGTTTTTCTCCAAGTATTCACAAAATTTTAGCAATAAACAATTTAATGTGTTTACAGTAAAAATGTATTGTCAAAATTAATATTGTATGTATTCGTCAACAAGGTATGCTCTTCTGTATTTGTGTTACTGATTTCAAGAAAACTAAGAGATATATGAAAACTTTAATGCTGTTTTATAATTGGATAAAGATTATTGATAGAATTTTTTTATTTAATTTTTATTTTATCATTATTACATATGAGATCAATTTATTTTCTCTTTCTGGGTTTATTTGTACATTTTTTTTTTCTAACATTTAATGTTTAATTTAATATGGTGCTTTGTTTGTTCCATCGTCGGTCATTTGTAATATTTTAGTTTGTTATTTATGATTACCCATATGTATTGATCTGGTTTAATTTTTTTATTTCAGCTTTTATTTCCCATTCCATGTCCATCCAAAGAGTTGGATTCATTTTTCAAAGTTTGCTTCCTGATCTAGAAGGGAAAGTTGTTTTCGATGTGGGGTCTCGTCTTGGACCTGTACTTTGGGGGGTAAGAGGTTATGTTAAAATTGTATTGGAAGAAAGAACTTCTCTCTCATTAACATACTGTGCTTTCATGAAAATTATGGTCTGTACATTTGTACTACAAGGTATTTTTTGATATTTTTATCTCTGTCACTGAAGATGGACAGAGATTATGTTTTCACCCCTTTGTGTATGTTTGTTAGCAAGATTTTTTGAAAATGGCTGAATGAATTTTGATAAAAGTTGGTATACATTTGGACTATGACACATCTCAGAAGTGATTAGTTTTTCGAAGGTCATGGTCACGAAAATCCAGAAAATCTCTGTCTGTTAATATGAGGACCAATTTTTTTACACTATTTTTGCTCTATAACTCATTCAAAAATGGTTGGATTTGGATGAAACCTGGTGGACATGTGTAGAATATTATTCCTCACTATCCTGTCAAAAATGTTACATATCCATTTATAATGACGGACTTACAAACATATTTTCTTATTTTTTTGAGAGCCATTTATAATCAATGGTGCGTGTCGGAAGTATGCACTCTACTAAGTGCCCCTCTAGTCTTAACTAATGTAATAGTTCAGTAAAAATGAAGATTTTGTTCTTTGATACTGCAATCTATTTATTACAAATATAATTAGCAAGTAATATTAAATTATGTTACATTTATTAAAAACAAAATATCTGGGATTTTCAAAATTAAATAATTTTGCTTCCATACAGTTAATTTTTTGTTTTTAAGATATAAAATATCAGACTTCAAGAAGTTCAAATCCAGATAACACCTATTTCTTATCAGAATTTGTGACCTTAATTTTACACAATGGATTTTCAAGTTTGTATGTGCATTGTGCCACTAGATAATTTCGAAAAAGAACTGAAGCACAACCACAGTTATAAATAGGAATTTTTGATTGTAATATTTTAATTATTTTTAGGCTTATGTGTATACCAGAGCTAGGAAAATCATAGGTGTTGAGATGAATGAAGAACTCTGCAAAATCCAGAAGTTTATTATTGAAAAGTATAAAATGGGAGACAGAATTGAGGTAAAGTAGTTTAAATCATTGTAATACATTATTGTATGTAATTATTCTGCACACATTTTCCCAATAAAAAATAGACCACTTGCAACAATGTTTAAAAACAACTATTTTGTTGTTTGTCATTACCTATAAGCCTTGAAACGAAGACTTTTAATTGGTATGTCCAAGGTATCCTTTCCAGTCGATATTTGCATTAATGACACGTAACAACTCAAGAACAACACCTTATCTTAAACACAGACACTTCAAACACAAAGCATGATATCTATTGAACGTTTTTGAATCTATAAATTTAATTTTTGGGAGTACATTGACAACTGATATTGAAATAAAAATACTACATGATATTGTGATATTTTATGCTATAATGGAATATGCCCATAGCTGTTGGCCTGAAAGCTAGGTTCACACATGCTTGTTCTATGGATTGTGTGATTTGAGATTCATTACTATATCTCTTTTCTTCATATCTTGTCCATTTCACAACTGTAAGTATTTACCCCATATTAAGAAGTTATATTCAACACTTAGGACAGTTTTATTTATTTGCATACTCATGTTATTTGTTTCATATTTTTCTATTTCATTCCAATAACATACACATTTTTGAATAGCAACAGGCCTAATGAAATCTTGCAATAAAATGTATGTTTTAAACTTACCTCTGTATTTAAATTAAGAAATGATGAACAGAAAAGTCTTTGCTAATCTCTAAGCTTATGTTAATGTAAGAATATTGATTTCATATTACCAATTGGACTTATTTTTAAAAGTGAAAAACAATTGCTAAAGTAATTATTTCAGAAAAATAAACAAGCGAGCAGGGGATACAACACAATTAATTTATTTCTTTACCATTTTTTAAAGTGTGAAGTATAATTTAAAATTAATTCATACATTTACCTAATTCTATTTATGCACACTTATAAGTTAACATAACATAATATTTAGGGACAATAAGGGATCTGTTAGTCCATCTCAGCTGTCCCATCCTCCAAGCTAAACTAAAACTATCAAATAAATAAATTTAAAAATATATATATAATACAATAAAAATCTTAAAGCCGGCCATTATCATTCTTATAGTTATCAAGTTGTCTTTTAAATTCACTTAAATTGACTGCCTTCACAACATCCAAAGGCAACCCATTCCAGAGGCCAACCACCCTGTAAGACAAATAAAACTGTCTTAGCTGCAGATGTCTCCTACCTTGCCAAAATTTATATCTGTGTCCCCTAGTCCTACTATTCTTGCCAGTAAGTATGAAAAAAAAGATGATGTATCAACACTATCAGTTCCCTTTACAATCTTAAATACCTCAATCAGATCCCCTCTAACTCTTCTTTTTTCAAGAGAAAACAATTTCAGAGATCTTAATCTATCCTCATATGAAACCCCTCCATTCAAGGCACCATTCTAGTAACTCTTCTCCGAACCCTTTCCAACAATGTCCTTCCCAGTGCTGAACACAATACTCCAAATGTGGCGTAACCAGTGGCCTATACAATGAAATAATAACCTCTTAGGACTTTTATTCAATATTTCTGTAGATACAACCTAAAATTCTATTTGCACTACCACTAGCAACAGCATATTGCTTGTATGGCTTAAGAGACTGATCAACCATTACACAAAGATCCCCTTCTTTCATGACACTATTAAGGTTATTCTCACCCAAATTATACTTATAATTCAAATTATGATATTTTCTTGCATTTATTATAATTGAAACCCATCTGCCATTTATTTGTCCAGTTCACTAAATGATATAATCCTTCTGTAAATCAACAGCATCCTCTTCACAGTTAGCAACACCAAAGACCTTAATATCATCAGCAAATTTAAGTCATTTATTGACCATTCCTTCATCTACGTCATTGATGTAAATCAAAAAGAGCAAAGGTCCTAAGACTGAGCTCTGAGGTACCCACTTGTGCAATTAATCCAATCTGACTGAACTCCATTTATAAGAACCCTTTGCTTTCTTCCATCCAGCCACTCTTCTATTCAATTACATATTAACTTATCCCACACGCCTAAAGATATCTTTTTATTTTACAAGCCTTTTATGTGGCATCTTATCAAAGGCTTTCTGAAAATCCAAATACACCAAATCTATACCCTTACCCTCATCTACATAAGTAGTAACCTTTTCAAAGAATATCAAAAGATTTTTAAGGCAATATTTTCCCTTAATGAAACCATGTTGACTATCCAGTAAAATCCTAAACTTTGTTAAATGACTTTGCAAAACATCTTTTATCAGACTTTCCAAAACTTTTCCCACAACTAATGTAAGACTAATATGCCTATAATTACTGGTACAGTTTTTATTATATCTTTAATGTAATGGCAAATTGAAAAAGTACATATTTTCTAGTTATTTTATCAAGAATATTTAAGTTTTTAAAGGTGAAGAAAATGTTTTGTTTGTTTCTTTTCTATTTGAACTTATTGCAAGTTTGTAATAATTGTTCATTGCAAATGCTATTAAAAAAGGAGAATAATTAACATACACTTTTAATTTTGTGTGATGAATGTGGTTAGTTATGACCAACTAATTTTATGCAATAGAGCAGATTGATTTTATTTCAGCAGTTCATTCATCTGTGTTTTTATAACCGACTATGACAATTCTTTTCTTTGATGAAGGTCATCTGCAGAAACATATGTAGTGTTCCTCAGATAACTGAAGCTGATGTTGTTGTTCTCAACAATGTCTTTGAATTCTTTTTGCCTCAAGACATCCAGGTGAAAACTTGGCAGTTTTTAAGAAGTAGTATCAAACAGGGGACAATTCTTGTCACTATTCCTAGTCTTGAAGATATTTTTAAGCAAGTAAAGGTATTGTACAAAAACTTTTGTTTATTTGATTTGAAATTGTGAAAAAAAGTTAGTTGGCATTGGCAGTTTTTTACATCATTCAACATCAGGAATGAGGGCCATAAGGTACCATAAGAAATTGTTATTAACCTCTGTATATATTTTATTCATAAGAAAAAGTAGAAAGCTTCATATTGAAGTGTTCAAGATAGCCTAAAATTAAATTATCAAGTGTCAGTTTACAACACAAAGTAGCTTTCATTCTATAAACATTTGTACTGCAACATAATAGTAAAAGCTGAGGATGATGAAAATGTGTCCAAATATCATCTTAGTAACAAAATATTTTTATTTTATACAACAAAATCTATAGCTACTCAAGATTATGGTTTTCCAATGAAAAATTAAAAACAGAAATAAAACTGAAGAATACCCATCATGATATCTGAAGATTCTGTCATATTTTTAACATGTTTTTCTAAGGTCACTTACCATTACTTAAATATGACACCTCAGATGGAAAATAATGGGAGAAGCTAATAAATTGTCTAATTCATTAATTAAACTAATTTTTAAAAAAGACCAACATAGGTTGCTTGTAATTTAGTTTAAACTTATGAAAATAATTCATCACTATAATTTTTTGTCAATTTTTTTTAGTAATCCTTCTCTTAAAATAATGCTGTCTTTAGAGTGAATAGTACTGTCTAAGAGCTTCAAAGTATCTAGGACCAGACATGCTGTAAATCCAAGGATTCGTGGTTTGCAACTCCTTTGTACAAAAGCATTTCTCATTTTGGGGTCTTGAGTGAATATAGCAGTGACAGTCAAATTCCACGATTTGTTCAAGTAGAAAACTAAAGAGCTGGTTGTGGATGCTGTTGATCAGCTGCCTTGTGTCTAGTCTGCCAGTTACAAATTAGTGAGAGCTGTGCAAAAAAAACCACTTGTGTAGCTTTGTGCTAAATCCTGAAACAAACATCTATGTATCTAATATTTATAGCAGACATGGAATATATATATAACATTATAAAGTACCAGATTTTAAATATTTTGAAAATATGTTTTTATATATAGATTAGTTATATAAAAACATTATATATCTAGTTGTGGAATTACTGTTAAGCCCAAGAAGTTTTGAACAAAATTGTGTTATGACTTAAAAATGTGTCAAGAGCTGTATTTTTGGGGCATTTTTTTAAAATTTCATTCTCATTTATTTTGCTTTGTTTTTCTGTAGAAAATATTGTGTATGATCGAAATAATAGCACACCAGGATAAAGCAGAAACATTATTTACATATAATCAACCAAATTAAAAAAAAGATATACCAAAGTGAAAATATAACTCAGCAATTTGCTACTTAAACTAATTCTCATAAATATACCAATTATATTTGATGAATGAATGAAATACTTTAAAAAAATATTTATTTAATTTTTTTCTCCCCAGTCTGAAGTGGATGTGAAGAGTTGGGTGAAGAAAAGACCTATCACTGACCCTCTTGTGGCTATGACTGCTCAGGATCAAGAAGAACTTTCAGAAGTTGTCACCTATGATGTTCTGTAATATGTGGGTTCCTCATGGTGTTAATCATCGCTTGTAAACTGCACACATTGTTTGACTTCAACAGACAATAACGAGAATCTTCATGCTTGATTATATGACATTGTTTACCTTGTTGTAATACACAAGAGTCCATAACAACTTGAGAAGTAAAAGTACTTCTCAAATACAATGTTCCTATTGTGAATTTAACAAATTATAAATGAAAGTTGTTTTTATTTGATTGCACCTATAATTAATCAACTGAAAATATCTACTAGTTTGTTATAACTTTTTTTTTACCCTTCCACCTATTGGTAACACATTGTCCAGTAATGCATGATATTAGTTTAATTCTAATAACTTGTGTATTTCATCATATTTACAAATACAGTCACTTGAAACATTAGCATAGAAAACTGATGAGTTCTTTTTTTTTCAAAAATTGAGCTTTTTCAAATGTTTTTTTTTAAGAATTAAACACCAAGTGTTATATTTACTGTTATCCAAAAATAGCATGCACATCTTCTAGAAAGTGGAAGTGTTTCATGTGCCATTGTACCAGGCTATTATATAGGCATTGAGATAATAGGTTAATTGGTGTTCTTATTTTATTCTCAATTTAATTTTTTTTATTTGTTACACAAAATGAAAAATATTTCCATTACTTTTCAGTATTTATAGTAGTAAGTATACCATATATATATTAATGAAATATTTCTAAATTTTATTTCAATGCATGTACATAGAAAAAAATATTTTGCTCAATTTTATGGACTTTATGCTGCTTCAGAGGCAAATCTAATAGTCTTCTATCTTACAATAATTTATTGATATAAATCAAGCAAATGCAAGATATGATCATTCAGGCTTGTGAAAGCATTTCTTATGTAGTTACTTGAAATTATAAAAGTTATTTGGTATGATTACAAGGCACAGAGATTGAAGATGATAACAATGTTTCTATCTGTTATTCATGTTTTACAAGTTGCTAAACTGTGAGTGAATTTACTTCCGATAGTGTATATATGAATTTTTAGAGTAATTTAATGAATAAAATGACAGAAAATGTATTTTGAAAGAATAAATAAGCTTTGTTTTTGTTGATGACTTTTATTGTTGCCACAATAAAGAGAGAATTTTGTAACTTCATGTTGCCATGCAACATTTATACAAATGATAACATACTGTGCTATAAAGAGTAAATTGTATCTTTCTTTTTTTTTTGCCAATGAGATATTTTTAAACTCATTTCAAAACAACTACTTGTTGTTTTTTATATATATATATTATTAATGTAAATTATTCATCATGTTGATAAACAACAACAACTTATAATTGTCATCTTAGTATAATAAGTAGAGCAGGAGAAAAATTTTGAACATATTTTTTAAAAGTGATGTGCTTACATTACTAAAAAATTATAATTTTATCACACTAGTATCTATTGCTACTTGAAAAACAAATTTACATACAGTTAAGTCAACCTTGGAACTTAGGATGGTTGAATTATTCAGAAAGTGATGTAACCATACTGAACAAACTATACAAAATGTTATGTGTAATGTTCTGTCAGAATACAGGTATGGTCTACCAGTTGTCATACTGGACTAGGGTTAGTGGTTCACATGCTGTTGCTGTAAAATCATGCTTCACACTTTAGGTCTTTGGGTGCATAGTAATTTTCAAAACAATCTTAAAAGGGCCCTTAAAATTGGGATCAAGGAGGTTTCAGTGTAGCTTTAACTGAAACAACTTATTTGAAATTTGATACTCACGTGTAAGGAGCTCTTCAAAATAAACTTTAAGACCAGATTTTTTGGAAATTTCATCTTAGAATTCCCAAATTGAGAATCAAAATAGTTTATTTAGGCTTTAAAAATCATATGCATCGATTTCCTTGGAAATGTATCATCAAAATAATGTAAACAAAACATTTTCTTCTTTTAAATGTAGTAAAAGATGGTACTTGTGCATAAATTAAATACACATAAAACATCATAATGCCGATTTACTGATGGTGTTGGAGTAGAATACTGCCAAAACGTATATTTGTTCAATAAATATGGCGCTGATTTAAAAAAAATTATCATGAACTTTTAATATTGTAATGTTTTTATTTATTTTTACTGGTGTTTAAAATTCTCTGTTATCCAAAAAATAGCATGCACATTATGGTGTTCTAAAAATTTCAAAATTAAAAAATATATGCTCCCTGGGTATTTTCCAGAGCGATGTTTGACATCTGAAAGATCTTTTAAAGTCTTGCCACTAAAAAAACGGGATAATTTCAAATGGTTCTCTGTTTAATGTATATGTAGCTAAAATACTAAAACATATAGTAAAATCATATTTTTTGTTATCAGTATTCAATTTAAACAATGAGTTTAATAATAACGTAAAAGGTACACAACAGAATGCTTCAGGCAGTCACAAAAAACAGTTCAGATATTTTTTGAGAGTTTTCTTTTTGAAATCTGGGACACTACGATGATGTCTTTTTTTACTACTTTCAGCATAAATTGCCTTTACTCTTCATCTCTCATTATGGAGTTTGCAAAGTCTGTGATGAGCTTGACCCTTCTTTCAGAAAGATTGTTTACCACTTTGGCATGATGAACAAACGTGGCAGCTTCCTGAAATCACCATAAGTGGCTCACTGTGTTAGCGGCAAATGTAAACAGTTAATGTCGATAGCAAGAAAGTTAAATAGGAGCCATGATTTTCTGCCAATTTAGTCGATGTGGAAGAGTCGGTACACTTCTTTTTTTTCTTTCATTGGTTTTTCGTCTATCAACTTGATCAGTTGATGAGCAATTTGCTTTTTCTCAGCTTCTGACACCAAGTTGGAGAAGAGTGCAAAAGGAAAGAGTTCTTCCATTAGGTACCAGAGGTGGCTGTTAAGCGCAGTATTGTTTGCTCCTGCCAGTGTTGGATCAATTCTGCTGTACATATTCGGATCATTCCATTGGAAGGTGCGTCTGCAGCAAAAACAGTGGATAACCAAGCTTTTACATGGAAGAGAGCATTAAACAAGCAGATGTGGTGAAACTTGTCCATTTTGGCTTGATCATAATTCAGATGATCACCAAATGTGTATATCTTAGTATCCAACGGGCATGATGATATGCACCAAGCTGTAGCCAGTGCATTCCACGAGATAGTATTTTTCTGATGCAAGATATTCATACACTCAGACCATAAAGGTATGTTCAGATCTAGAATTCAGAATTTACAAGACGGGCATACCACTTATACTTAAAGGCATTTAAAAGAAAGGAATATGGATCAACTTGGGGTACTAGAAAGAGACCTGCAACAAATCGTTCCATGCTATGATAAGTGTATATGTAATTATGGGGCTTTTCTATGGATATTGATTCCGACATTGTATTATGAGTTTGTATTTGTAAGTTGAAGTATATCGAGGTTTGTTTAAAATTCAAATATGTATGGACCAGATGGGGTGATCGTAATTTTAAACAAATTTTAGATAAATATAAATTATAAAGTAATACAGCAGGTAATATTAAAAATACGTAACCTCATTTCTGGTATATATTAACAATTTCATAGCTAATGTGTCTAGACGAGACTAATATTTTAAACATTAATAAGTCAAGTGAAGCCTTCAGATAAGTCAAAATTATATTTCCTAGCATGACAGCTCCCTACGGGCGGCTGTTTGAACTAGTAATTACTAATCGTAGTATTCATATCTTGTTGAAAAAAATTAGAAAAAGTGAAAATTTTCTAAAAAATAGATTTTCCTGGGAAGTACTGCTCAGGAAAAGTGTTACGATTATGCTGATATAGACTGTAATGTCTTTATATATTAAAATTGGTATCCTGTGTTGAAAAAATAAGTTTTTTTTTAAATTACAAATTATATCAATAAAGACATAATCAAACCCTCACCTACAGTCCAAGTAAAAGTAGTGTTCTTGTTGGAAGTAGAGTACTTTTATTTAAAATTGTATTCTCTGATAAATAAGTGGTTGTTGTATGTACCGTGCTTATCGTTCTAATTGTCTGAAACTTGAATACCCAAAGTGTGAAATTTTGTTAGGGATTTTTGTTTGCTATTCAGTAGATGGTGCTACATTCCATTTATTATTTGGGTCACATATAATAGGCAGATACATATATGCATGCTACGTCCATTATAGTAAGATGATGCTCCAATGGTTAAATATTGGCAATGTTAAAGAAAGTAAACACGAAAAAAATCAGCGAACAAAAAAATGGTTCATCTACTTGAACGTCTTGTGTAATTGGGCCAACTCTAACACAACTACCTGTTGCGTATCTGCTTGTTTGTTAATTTCCGGTATAAATTCTTTCCGAGGAACTTCAGCGATACAAGTCCTTTCTTGATTAAACCAGTTTATTCCGCTTCCATGATACAAACTTTCAGTATACAGTAATTGCACAATCAATACGCCTCTCATCACCTTAAACTGAACTACTTTTCTAATACATGCTATAAATCACAGCGATTCACA